TCTAGATAACTTTATCACCTGTCAGAATGTCTTAAATATAAATCCAACCACTAAGTGAGTCTTTATTTGACATATTAAATCCTATTTTCCCCTTCCCTTGACCTCTCCAGACCTTCCTTACACAACACACTGCTCCTTTCACTCCGCTTACCAGCAGGGATTCATGAGAACTATTCCCATAGCTGGAAGAAGGACCGCGCACGTCAGCTTATCAGTGTAACAGCCTCATAATAAGGAATTGCTCAGTGGTTTCTTTTTCATGCTTACAGGAATCAGACTGAATAACCAGTTGATGAAGCACTGGTTAAGAGCAGTAAATTAAGTCGGGGCAGAGTCCAAGGAACACAGTTTGACTGTGCCTTGTCCCCTTTGTCAGCGTACTTTGTACACTTGGTTTCAGACAGCTGGCCCAGCCGCACTCAAAGGAACTTTACATTAGGAAATACTCCCTTAATTTGCATCCTGCAGAGTGACTGTTGCCAGATTTGGGCCTTTTTCCACTGTACAAAATGTTCTATCTTTACAGAAGAATCTGACCCACTGTATACACATTAAAAAAAAAACCAAAAAACCAAAAAAAAACCCCAAAAAACCAAAAAAGCTGTTACTTGGCAATGTAAGAGGTTATGTATGTGCTGTGTTCCAGAGTAAAGCTGAATAATTCAAATAGCACAGAAGACCAAAAAGCCCCAATTGCTTAACAGCATCAAAAGCTTAGTAATAAGCACTGCTCTTAAAGAAAACTGGTATTGGCTACTGTCACGATGCACAAATATCAAGACATTTATTTTCTATATTTCTGTGTTAGTTTTGTAGGACTGTATGTTCAAAGAAATTAGGTTTTTCAATTGTTATTTATTACAATATGCATTGTGGCAGCTTTTCTCTGAAGAATTAATAGTGAAGTATTTAATAAACTTACCCACTCAACCTGCTAGTTCAGACAAGGATCATCTGACATCTACAGCTATTCATTAATACTATGATGGTCTATCAGATTTTTCTGAAACTAAAAGTGAGATTCTGAGAAAGTAGCTTATGACCACTCAAAACCTTCAGAGGCCAGAAATAGGAACATTAGCTGTTTGGCTCTTATTCAGTTCCCCCTTGCGTATAAATCCCCAACTACAAACTTCATTTGCCTGCAGAAGGACTTGGCCCTTCATAGTCTTCTTTGAACTTGCTTGCAGGTTTGGTGGAGGTTTTTTTTTTAATTGAATACTATATTGACTATTCTGGCAACCACCACTGTGCTACAATTTTCTACGAGCCCTACAGCCACCACCACCACTGTAAAAGCCCGGTGGTGAGCCCGAATGGGGAGAGATAAATGCCGCGTACACGTGAACTGATTTCCACTGCGTCCATGGCCCTCCTTGGGCCACACCAGCTTGCAGGCGACAGCGCAAGCCAAGTCCTTTTTCTTCAACCTTGCAGCTTAAGGCTGGAGCACACTCGGCCATCAGGGAGGAGATGGAAAATCTCCACAAGTTGCCTAACGCGGATGCGCTGAGCTTGTGAAGCGTAATGTTATAAGTCTCGGGCAGAATCTTAAACACAGCTGAATGTTCAAAAAACAGAAGAGATTTTCTTTAGGCTGTGAGAATGCTAAGCAAATTTTACACCAAATTTAAGTTCTTGCTCCAAAAGAAACAGAGAGGCGTTCATCTCATTTCATTATCAGGCAAGATTAACTTCTTTTATTATAGGAAAAATATTTTAAAATAGATTTTTTTAAGGAAAATATTACAAATATTTGATCCTTGAGGCCCCTTCCAACCTGGTATTCTATGATTCTGTGAAGTATTTCAGACTCAAAAGACAAAGAACAGAACATGCCATTTTAAGATTTTTAAAACTCTAAACCCTTAGAACATCCCAAAAGCACTAAGGATCTGCAGTCCTAACAGATACCACATTGTTGGCTTATCATGTTTTAATATTTCCTTTTCAATAACTCTTGTTATTAAACCTATCACAACTCAGTACAACAAAGCAACCTTTCAAGTCTACCAAACTAAGCTTAATATGATGATTTTTCCTTTTCTAGGTGGTCATTAAATAGTAAATACTTGATTGAAATTTTAAGAAATGCCTTGCTGTTCTTTGAAACCTTGTATTTTTTTTAAACCTGCTTTCTGCCACGTGGTATTTCAACGTCTAAAGCTGTGCTTCGGTAAGTGACAGGAACCCAAGGCTAAAGAGTTACATCAGCCTACAACTTTAAAAAAAAAAAGGCAGATAGTGTAAAACATTAGAGTTGCCCTTTAACCTACACTTCAGTTTTGTAAATCAGTGCCGCTGAAACAAACTGCCAGACACTTTTTTTTTTTTGTTGTTTGAAGTCCATCTTAAAAAAAAAAAATCTGAAAAAGTAGAAAGACCGATCTTTATTATGTGCAATCCCCAAAGTAAAAATGGAGACCAAAATCAGGAGGGACCATAGACAAGACGAATTTATTAAAGCTCATAGATGTTTGTAGTTTCACTGGGTTTTAACTCAGTTTTGCCTCAGAGGAGTTAATTTTCCTCACAGGACTGATTTCCAGCGACGCGGAGAAGTGCATGACACAATGCAAGAACTGCTCTAACGAATTCTTATCTATTTCTAACAGTTTTCAACCAAAGCTGGGATCGATGAGGAGTTTTAGTGGCAGAACAACCTGCTGCCAAGCAGCATTAAGATCAACAGCGTTTCAGAGCAGTTATTGATAACTCCAGGAGCAGCTCGGCATTTATTCCAGCAGGAACCACCTCCAGCAAACGCAGTCAGGCAGGGTCTCCAGCAAAGTAAAACCACTGTCAGCTCCTCACCAGCAGGAAGGCAACAAATCGGAGGTGGAAGAAAAGGAAGAATTGGGCAGATCCCCTCCATATCGAACATTGAAAGACGTCCCGAGTACAGGAGGCATTAACTGGCATTTCCTGGCGAATTATCTGAGATAAGGCTGAGATCAGGTAACCTTCCATAAAACTTTATCTAACCCACTGCTAATCGAAATCTCAAACAACCACTGACAAACACGATCAGATGATTGAGCCTATATGTAGTAAAGATTTTACACTGCTTATTCATTCTGCAAACTGAAACCAGCAGCTCAGAAGTAAATGAGTCAGAAGACTCAAACTCTGCGGCTCCTGCCTCTGTCCCCAGGTTTTTTCCTATGTGAAATGAGGGGGCAGGTGGGGGAAGGCAGATACTCAGAAGACCTTTGTTTTTATATTTCTGAAACAGAACTCTAATCCCAAATTAAGTAGTTCAGGGAAAGATTACTAGGTAATTACAAGTCATGAAAGAAGATAAACCAGCAAGAACAGGGGAGTTAGCAGCCTGGTAAGAACGGTTGTTCTCATGTGGGGCTCTGAGCCATCACGAAGACTCGTATTTTGCTTTAAGTTTGTTAAATTTACTTTCCTGAAGGCAGCAAAAGAAAAAGGCAATCCAGCTCGAGTTGTTTCTTTTTCCACCTGCAACAAATGGGCACAGATGCGTATCACAGGGCTACTCAAGCTTCAAAGTATCAGCCCGGTAGCCGATGCATTTCCATTACAACAAAAGCAGAAAGCTTCTCTCTGGAAACCTGGGTTATGCTGCAGTTCACTCCCGTTTTGTTCTAAGCTTAAGGATGCTCCCTCCCCTGCTGCCTTCTCTATCAGTTCATTCAGCCGTCAGTTCATCTCCTCTCTCCTCTACCTGACGCAGCCACCATTTTCTGCAGGCCACGTTCTCTGCAATCCTTCCATCCCAGGGTGGCTCCTTTCATTCCACCTCATCCTCTGGCAACTCACATTTTATACTCCTATTTCTGTGTTTTATGCAATTTTGTGCAATTCTTGTTTCTTGGCCGGTTCTTTGTGGTCACAACTGCGCTGACTTCTGATGCAGTAACGCAGATGTTTTCACAAGCAAGGTGTTTTCTACACAGCTATTCCATCAGTGGCAGCAGGGGAGATGCAGGGGTGCTATAAACCACCCCAGCACAGAACCACAAGTCAAGGTTAGAAGTGCCTGAAGAAGTAACGTGATTAATGCAGGACACCAGCTTAAACACATTATTTCTACTCTAAAACAGTTCTTCTCAGAAATATGATAATGCTACTCTCCTCTAATGCATTTCATTTAATAATTCTGCTATCCCAGAAAGACAAGCAGATTTTGTTCCCTTTTTTATCACTATG